AATACTGCACGTCTAGCTGGAGATTCGTCTGTAAAAACTTGCTTTGTGGTCACATGAGGCTGTGCTAACTTTCTATGGTGTGAAATATACCTAGTTGGATGAATCTTTTGTGCTAGCTGTGTCTAGTGGCACACGAGGGCATGGACGTTTTGAGACTCTATGACCGCGGGTTCAATCCCGGCCGGGGGTATGGAGGGTTTATGTTTGCGTGTATTGTTTTATGTACATAGTAGGCACATGAATAAGTATGGATGTTCTTAATGGTGAGCAGACTTAGACTTTTGAATATTGGTGGAGTATGCTGTCAGGAGTGGGAATTTGTTATCATTCTGACTGCTGGCTTTTGTTGGGTTATTAGTGGTCTTGGGTGATGTAATGTTGTTGATCCTCATGCACAAATTCTATATGTGAGATAAGGGTAGATTGAGTGAATGATACAGTGCAAGGAGAGCTGATTGTGGAACATAGTATCGTATCTTTGATAGTATGCCTACAGTCTTAGAGATTTTCTTGGTGATTTGTTGTATATGTGTCTGGAACTTGAGGCTACTGTCAAGGTGGATTCCTAGGAATTTTTCCTTCACGAGTTTTGTGACAGTGATCCATTTAGCATTATGTTAAGTAGAACATTTGCAGCTCTTTTTCCAAACTGAATGAAGTAGGTTTCGTCAGTATTCAAGGTAAGTTTATTAGTCATCATCCAGGCAGATATTTTCTGCAATTCAGCACTGACAGTGTTGGCAAGTATGACTGAGTTTGGGTGGGAGAAGTCATATGTAGTGTCATCTGTAAATAATATAGGTTTGAGTAGCTGTGATGCATTTGGTAGGTCATTGATGTAGATGAGAAAGAGGAGTGGTCCAAGGACACTTCCCTGTGGGAATCCTACTGTGACTGGTTGAGTGGAAGAGTTTGCACCATTTGTGTACACATATTGGCGTCAGTTACTAAGGTATGACTTTAGATAGTTGAGGGAGTGGCCTCTTATACCACTGTGTCTTAATTTAGTGTACAGAAGTTTATGGTCAACTGTACCAAAAGCTTTACGTAAATCAATGAAAATTCCCAGCGGGACTTCTTTCTTTTTGAGAGCGGCATATATTAGTTCTAGCACGTGTATGATAGCATCATTTGTGCTTTTATTATTCCTGAATCCAAACTGACAGGGGTTTAGTATGTTATGTGAGACGAGGTAGGAATATTTCCGTCTATGAATTAATTTTTCAAAGATTTTAGAGATGAGCGGTAAGTTAGATATTGGTCTATAGTTATTCAAGTCAGTTTGGTCATCTCCTTTCTGGATCGGAGTGACCCTCGCTATTTTGAGAATGGTTGGGAAGGTGGAGGATTAATGAATTTGTTAGTGTTGCAATAATTGGTGACAATACTTGAGTTTTTTTGTACATAAAAGCTGGCAAGTTATGTCTCCTGCCTTGTTTTTAAGGGTGTTGATGGTGAGCGAGACTTCTGTTGGGTTGGTTGGAGCTAGGAATAGTGTGTTCGGGTAGGTGCTTGTGAGGTAGTCTGATGGACAGGTGTTTGAGTTTGGGATTTTGCTCGCTAGGTTCTTTCCTATGGTGGAGAAGAAAACATTGAGTCTGTTTGTTGTTTCAGTTGGTGGGAGTAGGGGTTTGTCTGATTTTGTTAATTTGATTGTTTTGTTTTTGGATATCTTTTTAGTTCCAAGAATTTCAGATAGTTTTCCAGGTCTTTTTCATATCACCTTTGATGTTCTGTAATCTGTTTTCATAATACAATTTTTTAGACCTTATCAGGCTGGTAAGTGCTGACGAGTAACGTTTAGCAATGGAAATAAGTCAATCTGTCTGACTTTTTTGGGTTATCCTAGGTTCTCTACGCATATTACCTGGAGTTTACCTGGAGAGAGTTCCGGGGGTCAACGCCCCCGCGGCCCGGTCTGTGACCAGGCCTCCTGGTGGATCAGAGCCTGATCAACTCAGGCTGTTGCTGCTGGCTGCACGCAAACCAACGTACGAGCCACAGCCCGGCTGATCAGGAACTGACTTTAGGTGCTTGTCCAGTGCCAGCTTGAAGACTGCCAGGGGTCTGTTGGTAATCCCCCTTATGTGTGCTGGGAGGCAGTTGAACAGTCTGGGCCCCTGACACTTATTGTATGGTCTCTTAACGTGCGTAGTGACACCCCTGCTTTTCATTGGGGGGATGGTGCATCGTCTGCCAAGTCTTTTGCTTTCGTAGTGAGTGATTTTCGTGTGCAAGTTCGGTAGCTAGTCCCTCTAGGATTTTCCAGGTGTATATAATCATGTATCTCTCCCTCCTGCGTTCCAGGGAATACAGGTTTAGGAACCTCAAGCGCTCCCAGTAATTGAGGTGTTTTATCTCCGTTATGCGTGCCGTGAAAGTTCTCTGTACATTTTCTAGGTCGGCAATTTCACCTGCCTTGAAAGGTGCTGTTAGTGTGCAGCAATATTCCAGCCTAGATAGAACAAGTGACCTGAAGAGTGTCATCATGGGCTTGGCCTCCCTAGTTTTGAAGGTTTTTCATTATCCATCCTGTCATTTTTCTAGCAGATGCGATTGATACAATGTTATGGTCCTTGAAGGTGAGATCCTCCGACATAATCACTCCCAGGTCTTTGACGTTGGTGTTTCGCTCTATTTTGTGGCCAGAATTTTGTTTGTACTCTGATGAAGATTTAATTTCCTCATGTTTACCATATCTGAGTAATTGAAATTTCTCATCGTTGAACTTCATATTGTTTTCTGCAGCCCACTGAAAGATTTGGTTGATGTCCGCCTGGAGCCTTGCAGTGTCTGCAATGGAAGACACTGTCATGCAGATTCGGGTGTCATCTGCAAAGGAAGACACGGTGCTGTGGCTGACATCCTTGTCTATGTCGGATATGAGGATGAGGAACAAGATGGGAGCGAGTACTGTGCCTTGTGGAACAGCGCTTTTCACCGTAGCTGCCTCGGACTTTACTCTGTTGATGACTACTCTCTGTGTTCTGTTAGTGAAGAAATTTTAGATCCATCGACCGACTTTTCCTGTTATTCCTTTAGCACGCATTTTGTGCGCTATTACGCCATGGTCACACTTGTCGAAGGCTTTTGCAAAGTCTGCATATATTACATCTGCATTCTTTTTGTCTTCTAGTGCATTTAGGACCTTGTCGTAGTGATCCAATAGTTGAGACAGACAGGAGCGACCTGTTCTAAACCCATGTTGCCCTGGGTTGTGTAACTGATCTTGCTTCTTAGGACCCTTTCAAAGATTTTTATGATATGGGATGTTAGTGCTATTGGTCTGTAGTTCTTTGCTTGCTGTTGCATATGCTGCTATGTATGATAATTCTATGTAACTGAATTTGTGTATACCTGAATAAACTTACTTACTTACTAAATTTGATCCATTCTGTACTGTTTTTCATATTGGTGCTTTGCGTTAATGGATTTAACGATGATGGGTGTTAGCCAGGGACTATTCAGTCTCTTAGCTGTGATCTGTTTAGTGTTTTTAAGGCAATGTTTGTTATAGAGGTAATGGGCTTTTTTTAGAAAATTGTTTATGCATTCATTCATATCTGTATATGTTTCGAACTCATTATGCCAGTCGATGTTATTCATAGCTGCTATAAAGTTATTAACCACTGTCTCATTATGTAATCTGAAGGTAACTTTAGTAATGTCTTGGGGCAATTTACCTAGACTGGTTATGAGAAAGGTTGGGTAGTGGTCTGTGGTGTTGTCTGTGATTATGCCTGATTTTAAAGGAGATATGGTGTTGGTCCAGATGTGGTCTATTAAAGAGATACTAGTCTCGGAGATTCTTGTAGGTTTAGATATTGTTGGTAGCAACAAGCAGTTGCTGATAGTGTTTTTGAATTCAGTTACTTGTGGGTCCTAGTCATGTAGTATATTTATGTTGAAATCTCCTGTTAGCAGCAGGTGATCTTTGTTCATATGTAACTCCACACCTCCCCCCAATGAAAAGCAGGGGTGTCACTAGCACGTTAAGAGACAATACAATAAGTGTCAGGGGCCTGAGACTGTTCAACTGCCTCCCAGCATACATAAGGGGGATTACCAATAGACCCCTGGCTGTCTTCAAGCAGGCACTGGACAAGCACCTAAAGTCGGTACCTGACCAGCCGGGCTGTGGCTCATACGTTGAACTGCGTGCAGCCAGCAGTAAGTCTGGTTGATCAGGGTCTAATCCACCAGGAGGCCTGGTCACAGACCGGGCCATGGGGGTGTTGACCCCCAGAACTCTCTCCAGGTAAACTCCTCATAATTTCCACACTATGAATTCTATGCATAATATTTACACAACACACTGCCCTTAGACATGACAACTCCACCGCCTCCAGGCTCCTTCACTGCAGCATTTACAACCCATGATTCACACCCATATGAGTGTTTGTACCACTATACTCTCGTACATTACCTTCTTTGCCTCCATGGATATTGTTCTTTGTCTCCACAGATACCTCAATGTACCATCTACCTTTTTTTTTCCTTCATCAATTCTATGGTTTACCACGTACTTCATAAACCCATCGGCGGGCAAGTCTACTCCCAAATATCTAAACACATTTACTTCTTCCATATTCCCTCCCTCAATGTGAATATTTCTTTACCTAACTCGTCTGATACCCTCATCACCTTACTTTTATCCATGTTCACTTTTAGCTTTCTTCCTTTACACACCCTGCCAAACTCATCCACTAACCTTTGCAAATTCTCTTTAGAACCTCCCAAAAGCACAGTATCATACATTACTTAGTAAGTAAGTTTATTCAGGTATACACGAATACAGTTACATAGATTATCATACACAGCAGCATATGTGTAGAGAACCTAGGATAACCCAAAAGAGACAGACAAAGTGACTTATTTCGATATGAGACAATAAACAAATACATATATAAACAAGCGATCAATGTGAAGACAAACTTGCTAACAGATATACGTACATGATACACAAATTTACAGATATACATGAACAAGGCTGTAAGTACCTATGTGAACAGTCTTGACACAGTTGGTGGCACACATCTCCAGGACATCTTCTCCTATCTTGGGCGCATTCACCACCCCCAACACTGAGCTTATCACACCCTACATTAATGTAAAGACATGTGCATACATTAAATAAGTGTAATGTTCAGAAATTAATTACAGTAGGTTTTTCAAAATTCATATAATGTTTCAGTAGTTTAAAGATAAAATTAAACAAATATTGGTTGAATTTATAATTAAGGGTTAAGTCAAGTACATAAATCAGCAATGTGAAGCAAGAATAAATCATCACCATGGCTAGAACAATTCACAAATAAATATGGAATTCAAATTTAGAGAAGGAAACTTTAAATGATCATTATCAATTCACAGTTGCAATTTCAAATAGGTCGAGAAGAGACAGAAACATTGTCTATGGTGTCCTGTAAGTGTAGGTTATTTGAAATGTGAAGAATATAGTACACTATTTGATGTATGTTTAAATGTAGCAGTTGCATATTGAATGCAGGTTTGTAATTAGGACTGAAACAACAGACTTAAACAATGAGAAGCTCCTCAGTGTACTTGTTTCTCAGATGCTAAAAATACAGTATTTGATGGTAAATTTTTATGGGTTTAAAGTTAGTTAGGATTATACAATAATAATGATAGTAAATTACTGTTAATTGTTTAGGTGGTAGAAAGAATGGTTCAGCAAAGATTTGTAGAACAAAGGCTAAAAACTACTACATTATTATTTATTTTTATTATTAACACATCAAATTCAAATCAAATTCAAAGTTTATTCTCTATAAGGATTACAATGCTGAATTTACAGAAATTTGGTTATTGTGTGGTTTACAAGTAGTAAAATAATGATTATAGAGTGTACCACTAGAACACCTAGCATGGCTAGGCATTTCGGGCAGACTTAGTTTTATTCTTAATTGTAAAATATTACAAATTATGAGGTAAGTTGGTATTATGGCTAAGTGACTAAATACTAGTTTGTGAGTTTAGCAATGTGAATGCTTTTGTTTTGGCACAGTACATAGTTTCAGTATTGGAGTATCACAGGATTCATTATTTTAAGATTGAGATTAATATTTCTGTTTATGGTCAAATGGGTGAGTGAGTGTAAGTGTGAACCACCAGGTGGTATTCGTGTGGTTAGTTGACGGGGTGTATCAGGGAGAGAAGATGTTTTCTAATGGTAGTTTTGAAGGTGATGAATGTGTCTGCAGTTCTAGAGTTCTCAGGTAGGGTGTTCCAGATTTTAGGGCCTTTGACATACATTGAATTTTTGTAAAGGTTTAGTCGGACACGGGGAATGTTGTAGAGATGTTTGTGTCTGGTGTTATGCCTGTGGGTTCTGTCATAACTATCAAGAAAGCATTTTAGGTCAAGGTTGATATTAGAGTTTAAGGCCCTGTAGATGTAGATTGCACAGTAGTAAGTGTGGATGTACTGAACAGGGAGTAAGTTTAGATCTATGAAGAGTGGGGGGGTGTGTTGCCAGGGATGGGATTTAGTGATTATTCTTACTGCAGCTTTTTGTTGGATTATTATTGGCTTTAGGTGTGTTGCTGCAGTTGATCCCCAAGCACAAATAGCATAGGTGAGGTATGGATAAATAAGTGAGTGGTATAGTGTGAGAAGGGCATTTTGCGGCACGTAGTATCGTATCTTGGAGAGGATCCCAACCGTTTTGGATACTTTTTTGGTTATATGCTGGATATGGGTGCTGAAATTCAGGTTGTTGTCAAGGTATAAGCCTAGGAATTTGCCCCCATTATGTCTGGTAATTAGAGTGTTGTCAATCTTAATGTTAATTTGTGCATCTCCTGCTCTGCTACCAAACATAATATAGTAGGTTTTGTCAGTGTTAAGCGTAAGTTTATTGGCTGTCATCCAAGTCGATATTTTGATCAGCTCCTTGTTAACAATGGTGTTGAGGGTGGCAAGATTAGGGTGAGAGATGACATAAGTCGTGTCGTCAGCAAAGAGAATGGGTTTCAGGTGTTGGGATACGTTTGGAAGATCATTGATGTATATGAGGAAGAGCAGGGGACCAAGGACACTTCCCTGCGGAACTCCAGTATCAAGTGGCCATGTTGCTGATGCTGTGTCTTTAATGGTGACATACTGATACCTATTAGCAAGGTAAGATTTGAAATAAGCAAGCGCATGGCCTCTTATACCGTAATGATCAAGTTTGTGGAGTAGGATGTCGTGGTCTACTGTGTCAAAAGCTTTTCTTAGGTCAATAAAAATTCCTAGTGGATATTCCTTATTTTCCAATGCTGTGTAAAGCAGATCTAGCATTTTTATGATTGCATCATTAGTGCTTTTATTTTTCATGAATCCAAACTGGCAGGGGTTGAGTATGTTTTGTGCCGTTATAAATGAATACAGTAACCTACCTCCTATACCATACACCTGCAACATCTGCCACATTGCCCCCTTATCCACCCTGTCATATGCCTTTTCCAAATCCATAAGTGCCACAAAAACCTCTTTACCTTTATTTAAATATTGTTCACCTATATGTTTCACTGTAAACACTTGGTCTACACACTCCCTACCTTTCCTAAAGCCTCCTTGTTCATCTGCTATCCTACTGTCTTACTCTTAATTCTTTCAATAATAACTCTTCCATACATTTTACCAGGTATACTCAACAGACTTATTCCCCTATAATTTTTGCACTCTCTTTTATCCCCTTTGCCTTTATACAAAGGAACTATGAATGCTCTCTGCCAATCCCTAAATACCTTACCCTCTTCCATACATTTATTAAATAATAGCACCAACCACACCAAAACTATATTCCTTCCTGCTTTTAACATTTCTATTTTTATCCCATCAATCCCAGCTGCCTTACCCCCTTTCATTCTACCCACTGCCTCACGAACTTCCCCCACACTCACAACTGGCTCTTCCTCCCTCCTACAAGACGTTATTCCTCCTTGTCCTATACACGAAATCACAGCTTCCTTATCTTCATCAACATTAAACAATTCCTCAAAATATTCCCTCCATCTTCCTGATACCTCTAGCTCTCCATTTAATAACTCTCCTCTCCTATTTTTTAGTTAAATCCATTTGTTCCCTAGGCTTCCAAAACTTATTAATCTCACTCCAAAACTTTTTCTTATTTTCAACAAAATTTGTTGATAACTTCTCACCCACTCTCTCATTTGCTCTCTTTTTACATTGCTTCACCACTCTCTTAACCTCTCTTTTTCTCTCCATACACTCTTCCCTCCTTACATCACTTCTACTCGGTGGTCTAAGGGTGGCCCGGTGGTCTGGTGGCTAAAACTCCCGCTTCACACACGGAGGGCCCGGGTTCGATTCCCGGCGGGTGGAAATTCCGACACGTTTCCTTACACCTATTGTCCTGTTCACCTAGCAGCAAATAGGTACCTGGGTGTTAGTCGACTGGTGTGGGTCGCATCCTGGGGGACAAGATTAAGGACCCCAATGGAAATAAGTTAGACAGTCCTCGATGACGCACTGACTTTCTTGGGTTATCCTGGGTGGCTAACCCTCCGGGGTTAAAAATCCGAACGAATTCTTATCTTATCTTATCTTAAAAACCTCTCATATGCTAACTACTCTCTTTCCATCATCATTCCACCAATCGCTCTTCTTCCCTCCCACACCCACTTTCCTGTAACCACAAACTTCTGCTGAACACTCTAACCCTACATTCTTAAACCTACCCCATACATCTTTGATCCCATTGCCTATACTCTCACTAGCCCATCTATCCTCCAATAGTTCTTTATATCTTACCCTAACTGCCTCCTCTTTTAGTTTATACACCTTCACCTCTCTCTTACTTGCTGCTTCTATTTTCCTTGTATCCCATCTACCTTTTACTCTCACTATAGCTACAACTAGAAAGTGATCTGATATATCTGTGGCCCCTCTATAAACATGTACATCCTGAAGTCTACTCAACAATCTTTTATCTACCAATACATAGTCCAACAAACTACTGTCATTATGCCCTACATTATATCTTGCATACTTATTTATCCTCTTTTTCTTAAAATACCTTTTACATATAACTAAACCCCTTTCTATACAAAGTTAAATCAAAGGGCTCCGATTATCATTTACACCTGGCACCCACAAACTTACTTACCCTCTCTAAATGTTTCTCCTACTTTAGCATTTAGGTCCCCTACCACAATTACTCTCTCACTTGGGTTCAAAGGTTCCCTATACATTTGGCTTAACCATCTCCACAAAATCTCTCTCTCTTCCTCTACAACTCCTCTCATCTCCAGGTGCATAAAACGATTATTAATGACCACCCACTTTTCACATTCTACCCTTACATTAATCCACATAATCCTTGAATTGATTACACATTATATTCCCTCTTCTCCTTCCATAACTGGTCCTTCAACATTATTGCTACCCCTTCCCTAGCTCTAATTCTCTCAGATACCCCTGACTTAATCCCATTTATTTCTTTCCCACTGAAACTCGCCCTACCCCATTCTGAGCTTTGTTTCGCTTAGGCCAGGACATCCAACTTCTTTTCATTCATAACATCAGCAATCACATCTCATTCTATCATTCCGCACGTTACATCCACGAAACATTAAGCATCCCATTTATAATAGTTTTTTCTTCTTCATCGTTTTTATAAAATGTGTAGCAGGACATGGGTTTTACTAGCCCATTGCTACCCAGCATTTTAGTCACCTTATACCGACACGCATGGCTTACGGAAAAAGATTCTTTTCCACTTCCCCCATTTTGGGGGACAATAGAGAAGAGAGAGAGAGAGAAAAAAAAACAAGAACAAGAGCTATTAAAAAAAGAAGAAAAACCCAAGATGGTACTCGACCTAAATCACGCTATAGTGGTTGCAGGTCGTGACTCAGCTCCTTAGCCCCGCCTCTTCACTGACCGCTACTTGGTCTTTACCCTCTCCCCCCTGCTCCATGAGCATTATCATACCTCGGTCTTAAAACTAGTAATGGTTTTTTTCCTGCCTCCATTACATCGCTTGCAGACTATTCCACTTCCTTAACAATCTGGTGGCTTAAAGAAATAATCTTCCTAACATCCCTTTGACTCATCTGAGTCTTCAGCTT